TCGATTGGACGGGTTAAACTCGTCCGCGTTGTTACGCTCGGCCTCCGCTATTGTTTTTCAGGGAACGACGCGCTGGCGCGCGCGCGCGCGCGGATTCGATTTATATTGAAAGAGTGTCCGTCGCTCATTTCGTGATTAATGCCCCGGCGAAACATCATATCTGCGGTTCCGGCGCGGACACGTTGTCCGGGGCTTTATTTATTCAAATTTAATTTCGACAATCGCCCCGCCCGGGCTGAATCGATTGGACGGCCGCGGGTTTAATCTTCGATGCGGGCGCGACAGCGATCGAGCTCTGCGCTCGATCTCTCGGTTTTTTGATGGACGATCGACCGCGGACTGCGCGCTACTGTAATTGATAGACTGCGGATCTTTATGCAAACTCGAATTTTAAACGACGCAATTAGAGGAACGGAATTACGGTGAAATGGTTTTTCCTGACGGACGCCGCGGGGTGCGATGTTCTTTGGGTATTCCATACACGTGTTTCGTGTTTAAAGTTTCTCGTAAATTACGTAAAGTCCGGTAGTTAATATTATACGGCACTGTACGAGATTAATTCTTCCTCCGTTGCGTTTTTCATTAGATTAGTTCCAACGTGCGTAATATTAAATCTCCGCGCTCGGAATTTTGTTTTGTATTTCCATTGTCATGGCTTTTCAGCGTGACGAGTGTTCCGTTTGAAATCCCGGTGTAAAGGACAGCCGATGGGAAGTGGAATAATTTTGTTTGCCAATTATATGGACAATGATATATGACCGAAGAATGTGGCGTGAGGCTCGACAAAGGAGTGGCTCGTGAAATTAATTAACGTCGGATTAAGTATTAGCCGTACAAGTGAAAATGTTTCATTGTTTGCCCCGGCGAAGTTTCGAACAATGACAAACGATGAGAGGGTGGCGTGAAATAACCGGCGGAAGAGGGATTAAAGGTCAATGGGACGCGTCGCTTCGAGGTTCTCCACTTTTTACGCTTCAACCGTACGATAACACAGATTAATAACAGACACCGGTAGTTCCGCGATGTTACGGAAGCCGAACTATAAGGCTCGAGTTCATTTGAATCCCGTAGATTGTTGTTCCACCGGTTCTGATCCCACGAAATCTGGCGCGCTGCGGCGTATATTAATTTTCCGTACTCGAAGGAATTCTGTACCTCGCGTTACCCGGCGTTCGAAACTTAAAACGCGGGATTGATTTAATTAATATCGTATTACAACAGCGAATCTACATGGAAACACCTGCTGCGAAGAGAAACAAAGGCCGAGGCAGTATTTTAAATTGGATTTAATGCAGTACCGCCCGCAGGGAGGCAAATTCTATAATAACCGACTGAATCTCTAAAAGAATTATTTACCGCGTCGATTTCGTCGAAGGGAAACCTGTCGACACTGTTTAACACTTCAACTGCCGAGCGAACAAGTCGAAACTATTATGCGATCGAAACAGATCTCTCGATAAAGCGGAAACTAAGAAGTTAAGATCCTTCGCAACGCTTACTCTATCTTTCTCATATCTCATACATCAAACGGTCGGTTCGTTATCAAGAAAATGAATGTTCACCATTAAAACTACCGAGCAGTCGAATCGACTTTTTGAGACCTCTATGGAAACTCCATTAGTGAATCTATCGAGACTTTGATTTATAATTCAGCGCGCTATATCAATTCCTCCGATCATTTCTCAGAGGACCTGCCTTTCTAATCACTGCAAAATAAGGAAATCAGTAATGGGAGATTTCAGCCGTCTGGTAGGTTTCCAGCATTCGTTTCGTTAAATCCGAATAAATGGGTAGATACGAGTGAAATCATTCCTGAACAGAGATATTCTCGAGGAAAGAATGCGCAAGGAGTGCAAGCCGGATGTCTGTTGAAGTTTAAACGAAAGTTTGTCGTATTTCATATTTGGCTGGCTCTCCTGCGCCGTTCATTCCGTCGCATCGTCATCCGAGCGTCGTTGAATCCCCATCGAAACAAGCCTCGATTCCCGCGAAAGGAACAGAGCTTACAACCGAAAGCCCCGAACAACGACGAGACCAAGAACTACGTTCGTTAAAGTCTCGAATTCCCGCATCGATCGCCCTCCCGTCCGAAGACGCTCGAAGACAGTAAGTGCTCGCGAACAGAAACAGCCGTGATAAATACAATGGCCAGTTAGTCGAGGGAAGTTCCGCGCGGCGGGGTATTGTGTTGCGAATTAAATCGTCCTGAAAGCTTGTTCGTTATAGAATAAGTATTTAAGAAGCAATTCGTGCGCCCTTAAAGCGGAACACGTAAAACGAGAGCGTTTCAATTCGTTTCATCGGAACGCTCTGCAATTGTCTTCTATTACTGCGGGATTTCTATGCGGGTGCAGCGTTCGTAAATTAACGAAATACTCGTTGTATCATATTTCGGGAACGTGATTCGGCAAATTGAATTTTCATTGATGGGATTGCTATATTTACAATAATTGTTGTTACATCTCTGTTTTTGAAACTTCGATGATCGATACGAATGGTATTTTCCATCAATTTTTCTATCCAGGGAATTTTCTATATAAAATTGACGGCGCGGTTGAAGGATAAGTTTAACGAACTCGATGTAGAGACGGCGTCGCTAATCGACGCTATCGACGGAAACGCCGGTGGGAAATAGAGTACGACACCTGTACCCCGAAAAGTTCCGAAAGCGGAAAGTTTTCGGAAAATTCACCGCGCGATCAACGATTCAACGAGGACGTAAATTTGCAAAGACACGCTCGTGAGCGCGCGTTCGCCGAAAAGCCGGGCGCTAACAACTTCTTTGCCGAGATAATTGAATAATGCATTCCCTAAACTGCACCTCCGAATAATAATTTCCAGCTCGCGTATTTGTTCGCTCCTGCCGATAACGACGCGAGGCGCGCGCGTTTATCTGCGTACAGTTGCCTGCAGCAACAGCGGCTCGCTCTTATTAACAATTTAAATAACGTTTCCACGGTGCGCCGTGTACGTCGTTTCTTTATCCGATGTGTACTAAATAACTCGGAACGTTGCGCTGTAAACGTGAATCCTTAAAACAGATATATGCTCTTCGAATCGAACGAAATGAAACTCGATGATGATAAAATACAAGAATTATTTTTAAAACACGAACTCGTGAATGATGATATACTCTACGCATCGGCAATAAAACGAAGAAAACTCATTTCCATTAAAATCCGATATATCCTGTCCTGCTTATCAAGATTTACGGTAGAAATCATCTCCGATTACACCGATTCAAACACTCGTTAACACTAAATTCGCCGAGCAATTCAAAGCGTAACGAACTTGACAAACATCATTCGGTACACGTCGATTGTGATCGATGCAGTTACAGGACTACGCATTCCGATCGTCTATTTTCAACCCGTAAGTACCGAAGTCCGAATAAACGAATATCAAGTTCTCCAGGAACGATTGATCAAACGGCAGAATGGTCGAACATCACGGGAATCCAGTGCGCGACACGCGAAAAGCGTCGCACGAGTGCCAGACGCTTTTGCGAGGAACTGTACGCTGGCGCGAGAGTAATAAGGGTGGTTATTCATCGTTAATGGTTAGCCGTGGCGAACAGGGGAAGCTGCCAGTGGAACGGAAACGGCGGTGGAGAGAGGGAGGAAAGAAAAATGACGAACGCAAAAATTAACCTTGCCCGAGTTTCCCCCTCGAAACATCCCCGTAACCCAGTTGGGGTGGAATTATGTAATCAAGCGGCCGATACCGACAAACGCGACGCGCCGGCCGAACGAGCGAATAAGGGAACAATGTTCGCGCACCTCCGCGCGGTCGTGAAATTTCATTCGCACCCTCGTTATCGCCGGCGGCCGTCCAGCACCGCGAGAGACGGCCGCGCCAAACTTTTCCCGTTACAAATTCAATTCGTCCGAGTTATCGGCGAACCGTCATTACCCGGCCGTGTCATTAATAGATCGTTTTCCCGGTGACACGCGCTCCACCGCCGAATTCGGCGACGCAAAAATCCGGACGACTCTCCGCGGCACACCCCGGCCGCGCGAGTTCGAGCGCCCACATTAACGTCAACCCTCGCCGGACGCGCCCGTCCGACGGCTTTAATAGTGATCGATAACCCGACGGACACGCGTGGTACACCCGCTTTCTCCTGGACAACGGGTTCCTTGACTTTTCTTTCTAATCCGAGGATATTTATGTCTGTTGGGCTAATCCTTGCGCCGGATACCGTTTTCAAACGGAATTTTGTTCGCGAGAGAATTGGATGAAATCGCTTTGGATCTCCGGTTTTTCGTTACTTTTACGTTGGGTTCGCTTGTTTTCAAGTGGCGGACTTAGGGGAGATTATTGTAATGTTGGAGTTTGCGAAATCTCGGTGCTAACGCGAAGGGATACGCGGAAGACGTGAAAAGTATGAAATGGAATTTTACTTTGGAGATGATCGACTGCGGAGTTTACTTCTGAAAGCAATTTCCGATGATTTCGTTGGTTGCTGAGGGGCAAAGATGTTTTTGTTAGGTACAATATTTCGATTGATTCACTTTGTCTCTGATATTTAAGTGTATCTTATCGTGATCAGCGGCGAACGTAAACAATCGTTGACGATCGAGCGCAGCTCATCGTTACGCGAAAGTTACGCCGCGGATTACGAGGGTTATCCGGAGTTATCCAGAAAGTAAGACTCGTTTACATGTAGATGCAAGCTAACTGGAAAGTTACCATCTTCCTGGAAAATTCCGGAAACTTTTAAGAGGACGATCACTTGCGGGAAGCAACAATTTAAAGAATATATGCTTCCTGTGTAACTCAAGCATTTTAAAACTATGTACTCTGCTAAAGAAAAGAGGAGCAACGGTTGTATCGGTGAAACAAATAACTGTATGTATTCGTAAATTCCGCGAATAAAGCGAAACTTTTCAAAATACATTTGTACCGCCGTTGTTTTAAAGAGAGTATTACTTTCCGGACGATACTCGACCGCGAGCACGTGTCGCGTGAGCGCGCGACGCACCGACAAGATGGAGTACCTCGTGATCGTGAGTCCAGTAAATGGCGGTCGGCGGTTCCGGGCTGTGACGCACCACGCAGGTGAGGTTCATCGTGCTGCCTCTGTTTATAAACATCTCTGGCTCGCCCACAATTGACGTCACCGGTTCTGTAGGGAACAAAAGAGTCGGTGGTACAATGTATGTATTATTAATATGTTATCGGGAATTTATTAATCCCTTGCCTTACAATAACGTGTCCGATATTACAGTTCTGTTATCAATAATTATACTTTACAGCGAACAAAGACAAACACAAAGTAAAATTTTCCTCTTTGTTCGATAAATTATTAGCGGCAAAGCGACTGTATCGATCATAGTTGAGAGATAAATCACAGGGCACGAGGTTAAGCCGAAATATTCACTGCTATCGCAACATAATGCAATTAATAAAAAGGATAAAATTAAAACGAGGCTATTACGGGTCATCCTTATACATTTATGGATTAAGCACTGCGTCGGTGATCGATGACCGACGGCAAATTTTCAAGCCTCGTTGAACATCGATGACCAACGATGTAATACTATATATAAAACACAATATGCGATATAGTAGGAAATAGATGGTACGATATTTCGAGTATTGAACACTTTTGTTCAATTAAGATATTGAAGTTTAATTCACCTCTGTACTATCGCATTCATGAAATGAAAAATTGTGAAGCACATCGAATAGCAAATGGCTGACAAATACAGTACAATGGTGGTTTCAATAAAGCTTGCACACCGGGCAATCACTTTCTGCACGTTTTCAATGACCCGCAACGCGCACCGCAGAAAATACGATAATTTTTTTATTATCTTCATTGATACTGCAAGTCGTAATACGGAAGAAACTGTCCTTTATTCGACCGAGGCGTTTAATGAATCATGAGAAACGGTGGAACCCACCGATCACGACGAAAATGTTATCGGAACATCCGTTGAAATGTAAACTTTAAAGTGATATATGATACTTGCGTGCGCGGCGTCGGTAACGAGTGGGAAAAAACGGCGTCGCGTAACCAAACGGAGGATATACGTATATATTTTTATATATACATGTACATACACACATGTATATGCATATATACGGAGGCGTGATACCGGCGAAATTGGATTTCAAATAAAACGCGTTTTATTTCCAACGAAATCAAATGTTATTCGATAATATATTCCCGCCAGTACTGTTCGGCGATATTTTGGTCGCGTTCCAGCGCGAAGAGAGCATGTCGAACGACCACCTTTTCTACGCGAGAATTTCGAAAACCACTCCTGACACACGCGTCCGCCCGCCATGTCCTCTCCACGCGCGATACTAATCTTCATTTGTGTTCCACCGTTACAGCGAAGTGAAACAACATGTTCGCGTCGGTGAAACTCGTTACACCGGCACGTTTTCCAGGTGCGACAAAGATAATATTAAATTATTCGAACAACGCCACGGTCGCCGGGAAATATTCTTCGCAGTTCGTTTTAAGCGCGGATGCAAAACTGCGTTGTTCCGGCTGAATGTCTGCAGTGATAACAGGCGTACGGTGACTTTGGGAATAGACCGAGTAATTATGGAAGAATCATCGTGCTGCGTTACCGTGTTATTTTAACGGTGGGACGCGTTTCAATAAAACATTAATAAAAAGATATTTCACGGTCGATGCACAATATTCGATATCCCTGGAAAATGCCGGAACGACTTCCGCATTGTTTACTTTAGAAATTGCCACCGGCGTAATTAACTGTGCTGGATTAATACTTTTATTTGTACAAGTAAACGACGCTGTAATCGATTCAACGTAATTGACTGTGATTGCAAAATAACGGATGAATGTTTCAGTGTCCATCATTTCCTTTCCGCGACATTTTCTCCAGTCAAAGGGTAATTACGCGCAGGCGAATGATTATGATCCGAATTGTTTTCCCTCGCCAACCAATGGTGTTGCGACCAATGCCATCGAGCAAATTATCAATATAATCAGGAATAGCTATTGTCGAAATGTACTCTCGCATAAGGCAGAGAATTACAGGTCGGTTCATTAAATTAACTGATTCATTAATTCATTAGACGAACAATACGGCGAAAAAAGGACAAAGCCGGTTAGTGCACAAAGGGTTCCAATTTCACTTGGCCATTCGAAAATAATTAATATCTCCGTGGAATATATAGAAACTGCTCGAATGAAAATTTGCTTTTTAAACAATGTCGAAATTCGTCGGACCAATGGGAAGTTGCACGTTGATTGCGGTCGTCGCGCGTATTTCTTTATGTAACCGAAATGTTTGTGTGACAAATGTGTCACGATTAAACGGTCGAATCGACATTTTACAATTGCCAAATATTTGATTGAGCAAGCGAAAACCCCGGTTCCCGGCGAGCCGCGCGCTCGTGAGTAATTTGAAATTTTTCTACGCCACCGTTCTGCCAAGAACCGGAATTGCGTGTTTTATCCTGTCACAGATGACAGGGCGTGGCCGCCATGACAGCGTGACCCTTCGAACGATGGGAAAATAGATCGAAAAATGGATTCGTTTAAACGAATAGCCCACCGCGATGAAAGTATCTTTTTTATTTTTCGAAAATTTTTTCGAGTTTACACGTCCTCTCGTATGCAAGCGCGCTATCTCGTCTGTCGATCACTCGCCTGATCTACTTGTAACAAACAATGCCCGTGTCGCTCGTAAATCTGCACATAAATTGAAAAGAAAAAAGGAAACTCCGCTGTTGTTACACGCGAAGATCGAAGTCAAGAGTGTATCTTCTCTGCGAAACAATGCTCTACCGTAGATTATTTTCACCTCGAGTCGGTAGTCTACCCGTCTGTAATACTCGTAACAGATCAAACGAAACCTAATCATTTCAAATGACTCGGGAAACCGTGATGTTCCTATTCTCGCGTATTTCCAGCGCGACACGTTGCCGGAGAAAACATTTGACGCATTCCTTTCGCGTCCGCTCTCGTTCACGTCAAACGCGCGAAAATAGACCGCACAGTGGTGGCTCATGGAAATGAACGTGTAAATGGAACATTTTGAATGAAGCTTGTTTTTAAACGGCAAATATTAATATACCAGCAAATGTTTGAAAGTAAAGTTTGCGAAAGGGATGCATGTAAAATTAAATTATTTATTCAGCAATGTACCCGTCGCGGTTGCAGGAAATTCAAATTCCCGCAGCGTTTTTCGTTCCCGCCGTGCGCTCGGCGCGTACGCGTACGCGTTTTCGTGAAAATATTTGCAACGTTCGACGGAAGGGAAAGAAAAATCCCACTGAAACGCGAATTATCGGCGCGCACTTCGAGCGAAGAATTTTCCCGAAAACCTGCGCGCGCAAAATGGAACTTCCCGTTCGCAAAACCGCGAATTGCATTTCAAGTTGGCCCGCCGAGCGTAAGAATTTCGGAAACATTCGGCAAAATTGGGATATCCCCGTTCCAGTCCGTCCATCACCGGCTCGTTCGACATGCAACGAACAATAACCGCGACGCCCGTAAATTCCCGCGCTTCTTTCCGCACGTTAATTGCCGGTCCCCAGTCGAATTATTATCGGAAGCGGGTAATATTGTATCGCTGTCGACGGCGCGCGGTGATATTCTCGCCGAAAAAAAAGGAAAAAAATTGCGGCGAGAATTGAAAAAAAAAGGAGAGAAGA